CACTGTGCCCCCTCGTGAGTGAGCCCGTGCCGTGTAACACTCCATGGGCGGCAGGATACGTTGACGGCACAAGTATCAGGTATGTCGGTGCGCGTGACTCTAACATGCATATCTCTCTATATCTTCACTTAGATGCGCCCTTAAAACTACAATTGCCGTTCTATTTTCTTTGGTACTACTAAGAGTGCACTCTTCATTTTAAGTAGTGTTGTTCCGAAGCAGATCCACCAACATGCATTTTAGTTTCATGCTACTTCTTTTACTGAAATGATGTATCAAGGTGACTACAAAAATCTGACGGCAATTTTTTTTGTAGTGTTGAATGGTTGCCTAGTGCGAGTATTACCTTTGCCGTCTTGTCCATCCCTCCTCCTCCACCAGAACACTTTGTCTGTTTCAGCGCCTTCCACTGGTTTGCTGTCATTTTCCTTGTCCGTGTGATCCGCATCAATCGTCTGAGTGCCGGTCATGTTCTTGCTGCATGGTGTTGGTTCAGTTTGATCCAAACGCAGGTCTCCGGTGGACGCATCTAGTCCAAAATAATCAGATGGAGTAGATTCTCCGAAAAAAATCAGATGGAGCAATGTGAAGAGAAATAACTACTATTGCAAGTAATGGTCTGTAAGAAAAGAATCGCCAAAAAGGTTTCATACAGAAGATTTCAAGAAGCAAAAAGTGATTTAGTAGGCTTACCTTTCAGGTCATCGACGTCATGCGTATGTGCAGCACCGCCGTTCTCCCCCATACCCAAACAGACCGCTCGCTCTCCAGGACTCCACGACAATGATCTTGCCGCGATCGTATCTGTTCCTCACACTGTCTCCGATTATAATATTCGTTATAAAAATGGATTTTACAAAGTTCATCACATTAGTACACTTATATCACGTTAGTATATTTATCGGGGTCGTTATCTAAACACTACTTTTTGTATTTTAAAAAGTTCATCATATTAGGGTGGTGCGGCCTCGCCAATCCTAAGTACGAAACGGTATGGGGGAGTGCGTGAATAGCCAAGTGAATCAGCATGACACAGGAAACGTGTTGCCAGGAAATTATAAGAACTAAAAAAATCATCTTGGAACCGTTGTGACCAGGAACCATTCAAGAACAGTTGGAGCCCAAGGCGGGATGGGCCCTGCCTGTCATTGTGCCAGCCTAGTGCTGCGCACTCTCGCATGCAGCGTGGTCCATTTTTCTCTATAAGAGGAAATAAGTATCAAACTACTTATAAAATAAAAATACAAAAGAGGTAAGGGGATGGGACAGATCCCAACATGAGTGGGTGCTCGTGATTGCAGCCGCCACAGCAAAGC